AAGATGGATTCGTCGGTGATGGCTTCAGCGACGGTGATGGCTGCCGGAAAGGTTAGTTCAATTATTCTTTTCAAATGTTAAAACAGTTCACTGCAACATTATTCACGGTTAAATTGTGAGCATCATCTTAATTTAAATTTTAGAGATAAACACCTTTATTTACCGTGTGTATATATATATATATAAAAAGAGACTAAAAATTTAAATGGATATGTTAAATATAAAGTTTAAAATTTTATTTCACATAACATATGTTTCGTTATAAGTGTTAGTGCTATTAATTTCAATTGAACTCAATAAATTGAGTTTTATTTATATATATTTCGTGACAAGTGTTAACGCTATTAATTTCAATTAAACCAAATAAATTAAGTTTCATCTATAAGGTATAGGTAGATATTTTAAATTTTAGTACTCGGAGACATATCATTAATGGAAATGTCGTCGAACTCAAAATGTCTACTGAATTTGGTAAATGGCAATTCAATAGAGACAACGTTTATTATATTTAGGGGTAAAATTCAAAGTTAATTGCTAGATGGCCTAATTATTGTTTGACTAAGGGCAAAAAGTGACGTGAGAGATGATAAGATGACCAGTAGTTTTTATTATATTTGGTTTGACCAGTAGCAACACGCCACGAAGAAGGGCTGTTGTTAATTTCAATGGAGATTTACATGAATTGACTATGATTAAATTAATGATATTTTAGTGTGATTAAGTTATTTAGGAAATCCAAATATTCCACAACTTGTGTTATATGCGGCTGGTGTAGTCAATAAAGCCTTCTCTTGATTTTGATATGGTCGAATTTTGGGTTCTAAGCTGTCGACTGTTGAAGGTCTACTATATGACCTCCTCATGCGACCTGGGATTTGTTGATATTCTTTTCTTATTTGATTTTATAATTTTCAGTGGTTTTTTATTAACAAATAAAAAAAATTGTTTATAAATAAGTACAGATAAAGAAGATTAGGCTTATCTTATCATTCCTAATGTTATAATGAACTTCTAGTAATTAATGAATATGAAAAAATAGATATTTTATGATAAATTTACTAATGAGAATATCTATACAATGCAAAAATATAAAAACTAAAAAAAGGAAGGTTGAGTTTTCAATCACAAACTACCTTTAACAAATGTATATTTAACTTTTTCACATTACATCAAAAGAATTGAATTTTTTTTGGTTAAAAAATTGACTTTCTGGCCTACTGTGTTCTCCTCACCCTTTCATGTTCACCAATAGTTTCCATTCCCATTATCCTACAAATTAGTTTAGATTAAAATCGAAAGTTATTCACTATTGATTTGGTACATCTATTAAGAAACAATAAATAATAAAAATAATATTTCTATATTAACTTTTGATTTTATTAAATTTAATGTTTTGAAAAATGTATTACATGATAAATAATATTTAATAGGAAGGGTAAAAAGTGACACATAAGATAGATTATCTCTTAATTTTTTAGATTGAATAAGTATGATTAGACAATTATTTTTAGAATAATAAATAACTATTGTTGAAAGAATGAAGTACATAAACGCTTCGAATGAAATTTGATTTTCCTTGAAGAATGTATCATGATTTTTTTCTTATGATAATCGATTCAACCTGTGATAAAAAGATATATTCAGAGTAATATGAAAAATAACTTTCTTTTGTAGTAAACACACCCTTGATCTCTATTCTTTTGGTCATGTGGGACATTGGGACTTGGTCTCACTAACTTTTTCCCCACTAGGTTCCTAACTTCAGCCTGCCAGCATTTTCGCGTATTAGGCTTTAAGGTATTACTCACAGTACCTTCCACTTTCCTTTCTTCTTCCTAGCTCCTGCACATGGATCCAAGACAAATAATATTATTCTTGTGAAGATATTTGATTCCATAAGAAGCATTTTAAAAAGATTCGTGATTTTAAATGCACATTTTTGTGGATATAAAATAATGTTGTTAGCATTAAAATGAGGATTCTAATATATAGCAGTTCTTTTTTTTTTTCAAGATGTGTCATTCTTTCTTCCATATACAAGAAAGGAAATTGTTATAAAGTAGTTGTCGGTACAATGATATTTACTCTCACCAGTCACCAATGTGCCATGTCTGGTCTTTCTTAATAAGATTAAGAACCGATCTGAGTCTTTATGAAACTCTGCCGATTCGCGGTGGTATTGTAACTTATCAAAATGACAAGTTTGAGCTCGATAGCCGGAAATTTTTGTTATTTAATTGAATTGAGCGCTCAAATGAATTCGTTTTTCTTGAAGAGTTGAGCACTTCAATTAGTTTATCTTATCCAACTGCATATTACGTGACACGTTCAAAGATCTTAACTTTTTAAAACAATAAAGAAGCATTTACTTGTTTGTTCTCTGACTCGATGATGGTGAATGTGATTGATGATGTAGATTATCAATTGGACAATCCCCAGGTCAACAGATTTCAATGGTTTTCTTGCCTTGTAAGTTTATTTTAAGGGACAGCACATGGTCCTCATGTTTGAACGGGTGAAAGTCAGAGGATGAACAAGACCTGGATTGTTGATTAATTTCATATTTTATTGTTGAGTAAGCGTTATGACAATGGTAACCCTAACTGGAATCAATGCCAAGTCTTAAATTAGACGTGAAATGAGACAGTTCATTAGTATGCCAGTTTAATTTTTAAATAACTTAGTACTTCACCTGAATCAATGGCATAATTTGCAGGGATGAAAATTGAAACTGATTCATCTTCATTTTACCAGTACATTCCATGTCCAGGAAACTATCTGTAAAGACAACATCTTGACTTTTGGAGATTTAAAAAAACTTAACTGACTAGTGCTTGTGAGATTCCACGTTTTCAGTGAATTGGTTTCATATGTTGATCATGTGCTTTTTCATGACTCTGGTAGGGCATACATTTTCATTCTGACGATGTTCTAAGATATTTTATCTATATATTCAATCAATTCTATTCCCAGAAAAGAAATAATTTTATCCTCTCCCTCCACCCTAAAAATTTTGCCATATGCTCCTTCCTTCTACCTCTTTCTCTACGATTATCTTCAGTATGTCGTCTTTATACTAACTTCTTCTTTATACCTGTCTCTCAATCAGTTTCAAGATGTAATCCTTCCAGATACCTCTCTGGACGATGTGGTGGAACTACCAGAATTGGTGTGCTCGTTGGAGGTATATTTCTTTCTTTTTTGGGTTAACTTATTCAGAAAATGTCACTTCTCAACTCGTTTAATGTAACGAGCTTGCAAGCTTATCACAGATGGGTTCTGTGTTCTTCATATGTACGAAGATTTTTGCACAAGAGCTGCCGACTGATCAGTCATCACTAAACTTCCAAGCCTGCTTACTTTTACAGCCGTTTGATTTAATATAACTAGTGAGTTTGATCTCTTTCCTGGTCAAATGAAATTTCGACCACCTACAGGGATTATTGCTGGAGCTGGTTTAATGGCTGCTTTGGCTGTTCTTTGCTACTGCATTCGAAGACGTTCTGCATCTCTCAAGAAAAGAATGAGCGCAAGACGCCTTCTCTCTGAAGCTGCAGGCAGCAACAGTGTTCATGTATTTCAATACAAAGAAATTGAGAGAGCAACAAATAGTTTCTCTGAGAAACAGAGGCTGGGCATAGGGGCTTATGGCACAGTTTATGCTGGAAAGCTCCACAGTGATGAATGGGTTGCAATTAAGAAACTAAGACACCGGGATCCGGATGGTGTTGAACAAGTGATGAATGAGGTTAAGCTTTTGTCTTCTGTAAGTCATCCAAACTTAGTCCGCCTCTTGGGTTGTTGTATAGAAAATGGTGAACAGATTCTTGTTTATGAATTTATGCCCAACGGAACTCTAGCTCAGCATCTACAGAGAGAAAGGAGTTCAGGACTTCCGTGGACAATACGTCTCACTATCGCAACAGAAACTGCTCATGCGATTGCTCACCTTCACTCAGCAATGAATCCACCAATATACCACAGGGATATCAAATCAAGTAACATACTATTGGATTACAACTTCAACTCAAAAGTTGCAGACTTTGGTCTTTCCAGATTTGGCATGACAGATGATTCCCACATTTCTACAGCACCACAAGGTACTCCAGGTTATGTGGATCCTCAGTACCATCAGAATTACCATCTTTCCGATAAGAGTGATGTGTACAGCTTCGGGGTGGTTCTTGTAGAAATCATTACAGCAATGAAAGTGGTTGATTTCTCTAGATCACACAGTGAGATTAATTTGGCTGCACTTGCAATAGACAGAATAGGTAAGGGTCGTGTGGATGAGATCATCGATCCATTTCTAGAGCCACACAGAGATGCATGGACTCTATCATCAGTTCATAGAGTTGCAGAGCTTGCTTTTAGATGCCTTGCATTTCATAGGGATATGAGGCCTTCAATGACAGAAGTGGCAGACGAGCTGGAACAGATCAGGCTCAGCAGTTGGGCATCATTGGAGGACAATGTATGCATGACTTCATCAGTGAATTCCTCTTGCTCATCTCCCCGTAGTATGAGTGAGACATCTTTTCGTAGTACAACAACTAAGAAAGGAGTAGGGAGTAGGAGGTTGATTGTTCCCCAGAAGATAGCGAATTCACTGGCAATCATGGAGGAAATAAAAGACAGTTCCCCTGTTTCTGTACAGGATCCTTGGTTAAGTGAAGAGAGTCCCCCTTCAACAAATCGATTATTAGGTAATTCTGGTCGATGATGACTTGAAAAAAGAAGTTCGCTCTAGGTAGAAAACTGAGGGGGATCACCTGTAATCTATCACCTCCTTTTCCTGCCTTCTAATCTACTGAGAATATCAAAGAGTATTATTAGAGCACTTCTCTTTGTATCAAAATTTTTATTGCTTCATACGCAGAATTATAGAATGTGAAATAGTATTTGCAATGCCATGAATTTGAATCGTTGTGTTTCCTGTTATTTACAACGACTATAATCCTACATCATACATCATCTTCAAGAATTTGACTACCCTGACATGTTAAATAATTTATCAATACATATTATATAACAGGATTAATTGTTACACTAATAGAATTGATCATGCTTTGAATTTAGCTAAACACAGATCAAACTTAATTTGCAAATAACAACAATGAAAAATTGTATGACAAGCAATAAACTCTTCAAGATTTTTGAGGTTCAGGTCCTAAAATACCATTGACTACAGCTCCGGCAATCAAAACTCCGACAAATTCAGCTCCGGCCACCGCTCCAGCTTGCGCCAACCCACCGAAACTTACTGTACTCTCGATCTTCTCCTCCGCTGCTTCAATCCCCTTCTCAGCCGTCAGTAATCCTTTCTCCGCCGCTTCAATTCCCTTCTCTGCCGCTGCAATTCCCTTGTCTGCCGCCTCGAATCCCTCCTTCACTAATTCTTCTGCCTCATCTTCTACTTTCTTAAGCTTCTTTCTCAGTCCAAAGAGGCCAATGTCCGCAGCCTTGGACGGCATCTCCAGCGCTTTCACTACCGTTGTCGCCGTCACCAGAGAGATCAACTGCCTCCGCCCCCGGAGAGCCACCGCTGCCTGTTTGGTAGGGGGATTTGTGTTTGCATTTAGCACACAACGGGGTGGGTAAGTCCTTACTGTAAGTGAAGTAGTTGTGGAAGACATGGCTATGCTCTCTGTACAATCAAAATGAAGTCTGCACTCCTTGACACCACAATCACAAAGAAGTGTGTGGACTGATTTTTTTTGAACGGACAAGAGAAATACAAATAAATAAATTAATTAAAACTCGGACCAGAAAATTAAAAATAAATGTTATTGGCTTCTTTTACAAGAGTTTTTGGCTAAAATATTCCTTAACCATGACTCAGATATAATGTACACCTTGATATTATCTAAGTGAGTAAAAAATATTTTTATACTATCCAAAAAATAACAAGAATCAACCTTTAACATATTTTTGTTACCAAACTGATTGAACCAATGAAAAAATATATTTTTTTAATTTAATCACGTCTTGGCGACGAAAAGATTAAAGTTACCTAAAAAAAATAAGAGTATGGATAGGAAATGAACCTTGAATATAAATTTCAAGTGTTGTTAATTTATAGAGTATGTTTTTTGCATCATCAAGTAAATTGACTTGCAATACATAAATTTTAAAATATTCACATATTACGTTCCGAATGTTAGAAAGATTATGTAAAAAATAATTTCAAATATATCACATCCAACTATTCAGAGATTTTCTTTAGTAAAATGTTGAGGGGTATATAATATATATATATATACAAAGTTCATATTTTATACAATGTATAGAAATGCTGGAAATTTAGTGAAATTACGTATGTGTAGTTATTAAAATGAAAAAATAATTATTTTATTTGAAATTTTTTAAGTTGGAACAGTATTTGTTTTTTCCAAAGAATATTTAGAATTTGAACATATTTTGTCTGAATATAATTTAAAACCTCAATTTCAAAAAATTTAAAAAAGCACCTAACTTGATTTGCTTCACCATATGTACATATATTAGTTCAACTTAACACACTTTTTGTTGGGGCGAGTTTCTTTTAAAAAAATAGACAAAAGGATAAATCTTGCAACTTTTTCGATAGTTTAGAAATGTTTTTTGTTCATTTATATAACACAAAAATGTACTTTAAGTTTTGATAATATTTTAGAGATGATTTTGGCCAAAAACTCACTTTTACAACTTCTAATTATTATTTTTTCATTGGGCAACTTTCACATATAGTAAATAAAAAATTCATATTTGTATGCTATAGCAAAGATTGCATAATTGCGCTCTATAGCAAACATAGAAACTGTATAATTTGTTATACATATACAGTTGAAGCAAATTGTATAAGACAAGTGTATAAAACAAGAAAGAGAAAGACACTTGGACAGAGAACTGTATAAAAACGAAGTGTATAAAACGAATTGTATTATTATAAATGTATAGAACGATTATATACAATTTGAATTTGTATAAAATGGGAAAGAGAGAAAGACAAAAGATACTTGACAAGGAATATACAATTGAATCGAATTGTATAAAACGAGAAAGAGAGAAATTAGATACTGAAAATTATATAAAACAAGAAAGACAAAAGAAACTGAGCAGGAGAGTACTTTTAGTGTATAATTAAAAATGTATAGGACGAAAATATATATACTTGCATGTGTATAAACAATTTTTCTCACACTTTATACAAATAGAAACACAATTTATACACTTCGCTTCTGTTTGTATGAGTGAGAAAGGCGAGGGTGGCGAGCGAGATTTGGGAGAGTGGCGAGCGAGTTTTGTAAGAGGGGAGAGAGGGGAACAAAAATATATGTATTTATATAAATTTCTCTGCTTTATACAATTAGAAACAATTTTTATACACTTGTGTTTGTATAAAAAGTGAGGAAACGAGCGAGAGATTGGAGGAGAGTGGCGAGCGAGATATTTGGGAAAGAGACGCCTGACAATTTCTTGCAAAAGTTTGCTATAGAGCATAATTAAATCAAACCCTAACTACTCTATTAATTTTAGGTTATTAGTTTACTGTTATATAGAATTTTCCTTTTTCATTTGTATCATCTTTTTTGTTTTAAATAATTTTTTAATAGTGACTTAAGGTGTGCATTGTTTGGATTAATTCAAAAAATCAAATCAAATTGAATTTTAAGTTAGATTGATTTTTTCATTTATTTATGGTTTAATAATTTATTTTATTTGACTTTTGGATTTGATTTCGAATTAAAAAAAAAAAGAAAATCAAAAAATAGAAAAAAAACTTATATAGAGAATGTGCGTTAATGTCATTCATTATGATTTAACTTATGTTTATACATTTATAATTGATATACTCTTCAATATTGTATTTTTTGTTTTACTTGTATATATAAATTGCAAATATAAATTTGATTTTGTTTCTAATTTATTGCATGATCGAATAATAATTAAAAAAAATAAAATAATTGGAGAGTTATGTTCTTCTCGGGTCACTCAAACGGCGTCGTTGTTTCTCAACATGAAATTTATACTACTACGTTTGTGCGCCACACGGGTTTTTCCTTTGGGTTCAAAAGAGAGGGAAAATCAAGGGCTTATAAAATTTCCGCTTAGAGTAGCTATTTCTAATCAAAGAGACGATGGCTGAGGAAGCAGTAATTTCAGTAACAAGCCCTACGGCGGAGCAAAACCAGAACTCGGTGAACGCCACCATCGAATCTGGTGTTCAGGGAGGCACAGAATCAACTTGCAACAACAATAATAATAATGCGGAGAGTTCTGCGGTTACTTCTGATGTTAACCGTGAAAAATCTCTGGAGTACGCGGATGAGTTAGTGGTAAAAGGCTCCAAGGCATCTGAAGATGGAGATTATGGAGAAGCCGTAGAATGCTTTAGCCGTGCCCTGGAAATTCGGTTAGGGTTTACCAGTTTCATTTCCGCACCTTTCTTTTTAATATCAAGGAAATTTAACTGTTTGCTTGTTTTATTTTGTTTGAAACTGTTTGATTAGTTTCTTTCGAGTTAATTGTTGTTGATGGAAATGTAAAAAAAAAAAAAAAAGATCTTTAGGCGTCTTTGGTAATAAGGCGGTAAAGATATTACGGTTCCGGGTTTAATTTACTCCGGGTGGTTGAGTGGTTCATCTTTCAAGCGATTTTGGAATTTTTTTGTGGTTTAGTTTTGATGTGCAGAATATCTCGTTAACATGGCACTAATACATAGATACAGTACAGACTCTTTTGAGTGATTATCAGATAATTAATTTCTTCATACATTTACTTTACTTGCTTATGAAGCTGCACTGCGCAAAAACGGGAAAAAGTACTTTTTTTTTGTGTGCTGTTCAAATCCTTTCCATTTGGGAATGATTGAGTTGCAGACATGAAGTATAGGGTTGAGATTTACAAGCCCTCGTGGACTCTTGGCTTTTGCTGGTGCGATCTTCTATAGCTAAAGACAGCATGGACATCTGTTTCCAAGCTTTTTAGTGGACCGATTGAAATTGGAATTACTATCCATGTCTCTGCACATTATGCACCTTCATTTCTTTCTTCTGTTACAATTGCAATGCTGTTGGTTTACTTGTATTTAACTTTCATTGTTACATGAATGCGTGGGTAGAAAGGAAATATTTCAAGAGTTCTTCAAGTTGTTTCTAGGGCATTGTTGTTCTTTGCGTCATACAATATGCATAGTTTTAGAGTTTTTCTCTCCCTATATATTAACTTTATTATTATGCCATTTCTAGTAATTCTCGTTTCACATGGATTTCTTTTGAAAAAAATTCAGGGTCGCACATTTTGGTGAACTTGCTCCTGAATGTATCAATGCATATTATAAATATGGGTGTGCTTTGCTGTACAAAGCTCAGGATGAGGCTGATCCTTTGGTTTCTTTGCCAAAAAAGGACAGCGGGTCTCAACAAGATTCTAATAGAGACGGCTCTGTTAAAAGTGTTGTTAGTTGTGAGTCTTCTATTTCAAGCACTGCTGAACCTGGTGGAAGTTCGAATGGAAAGGAAAAAGTAGAAGATGATGGTTAGATTCCTTTGCATTATATTCTCATTTGATTTTCAACAACATTACTCGTGCTTTCTATTAGTGACATTATCTCAAAACATAATAACTGAATTGAAGAGTTTGCTAAGTAGTTACCAAAATTAGCATCGACGCAAAATGTGTCATAAAAATATATTTAGCAACATAGTAATGTGAAGCAAGGACTTTATCACCTCATGGTGAATCGATTAGCTTCTTCAAAGACCATCACTTTAGAAGTGAGGAACAGAGTAATCACAAAAAAATGGCTTGGCCTAGTGGGATTACTGATCCAGATAGAAGGTAAAGAAAACTTCATCACTTCATGGGTCTTAATGAGCTTCTTCAAAGACCATCACTTTAGAAGTGAGGAATATAGTGTCACAAAAAATGTTTATCACTTCTTGGGTGAACATTGAGCTTCTCCGAAGTCCATCACTTTAAAAGCCAGGAACAAAGTGATTAAAAAAAGTGAATTTCTCAGAGGTATAGCTATTCTAGTAGCAACCCTTGTGAAATTAGTCGAGGTGTGCACAATCTGGCCTGTACATCATGGTTATAGAACAAAAAAGAGTGAGCAATTGATCCAGCAAAAACAATTCATTTTGAACTTCACTTTAAAGGTTATGTAGGAGAGAGAGAGAGAGAGAGAGAGTTTCCTGCCATTTTAGTGCGATTACTCCTTCCCATCAGCATTTGACATTCTCTTTATCCGTTGTCTACTTCATTTATTGAGTTTGTAAAATCTCACCTTTTACTGCTTCCAGTTCCCTGTTTCTTTCGATTCTTCATTTTTTCAAACAATGACTTTTCTTTCTCTATCTGGTATATGAGTTCTATTCTTCTACAACTTCTCATTTTGAGCTTCTCTCTTTTTCTCTCTTAATACATTTTAGAGTAACTAATTATGGAATTGCATGTTGCAAATTAATTCTTTTTTTCCTCAAAATTATATAGTTGTGGAAGTTAGAAATCAATTATGCATCCAAAATCATGTGTCTGTGACCTTGTTGACATAATATTTTAAAGATGTTCAATTTTAGTTTGTGTCAATTGTACACTGGACATTGAAACTAGTGGCTTTAATGGCACTGCAATGTTATAAGAACTAAATTCATATATCCTTGTAAAGAAGTTCTAGATTCATATATGTTTGGTAATATTTATATTTTCTGTAAATGTGCACTTCATTCCTAAGAGACAGGCTC